ACACACAGACAAATGGCATTGTTCCAAGGCCTACAATAGCCTTTAAATATTATTCCTCAAAAACTGTAGTGTGACCAAAATAGAGGGATACCCAGGATTTGTATCCCAACCACTGGTTAATACTTACCTATCCAGCTCTTCTTACCACCCAATTCTGTTCAAATCACCTTGGTCTACTTGCCATTCCACCAACATGCCCTGTCTTCATTAGACAGTGGATGAAACAAATGTGGGTTCAGAACAAGAAAGAAGTCCATTCCAAGCCTTTTGTCATTTTATGCTGACATTGTTCCAATATGTAGTGAATAGAGAAAATATTCTTTCTTTAGTTGCTACCTGAAATCAAAATAGTCTCAAAATTTGACAGAAAAAAAGTCAGATCTTTCCAAAATCTTCTAAAAATCTGAATTATCTTTAGAAGATACATTTTTTACAGTGTGGGAAAATTCACTGAAGAGAAGCCATGGTTCAGTTGGACTTTCTGGGGCACTGGAATGCCAAGGAATCAGCTGAGAGAGAAGGAGCATTATTATCAGCCCAGAATATCCAGCTCATTGACTATCTGAGAAAGTTGTGGCAAGAAGATAATTACCTGAAAGGAGATGGACTTCTACCCCTTAGGCAAGTGGTAGAAGACAAGTAGGATACTCTGATCTGCTTGCTTTACTCTAGGTTTTGCTTAATGGCAAAAGTAAGGAGATATAGTAGACATTGTAATCCGAGCATTTAAAATTCAATTATCCTCAATCCTAAAGCTGCTTTAATGACAGCTATAACTTATACCTTTCCAGAACCTATTATATGCTCTGAAGATTCTCCCTTCTCCAAAGACTTCAAAATGAAGACACACAGCTGGCTGAGCACACTATGTTGCAGTATGCCCAAGACTTCTTGCAAGCTTTTCTAAAGGAGTGCTCTGAATCACACCTCTTGGGCCACCATCTTGCAGCATCGCTGTATCTCAGAACCCCTGTCAGGCCACTGAAAGCAGAGACTTTACCAAAGCTGGTGGTTTCTTTATTTAATAAAAGTCTCAATCTTAGTATTTTGGTTATTTAAAATCTCTCTTGCTTATATGTAGCATCCTAAAAAAACAAAACAAATGAACAAAAAACCCAGACTCTTCTTTTTTTTAGAGAAAGAGAAAGAGAGTGTATGGGGGGGAGGGAGGCAGAGGGAGGGGGAGAGAGAGAATCTTGAGCGGGGTCCACGCCCAGCTCTGAGCCTGACACGGGGTTCAATCTCATGACCCTGAGATCATGACCTGAGCCAAAATCAAGGGTTGGATGCTTAACCAACTGAACCACCCAGGTGCCCCCAAAACAAGGTCTTAAATACAGAGAATAAACTGGTGGCTGCTTGAGGGGAGAGGGGTGGGGGGGGTGGGAAAAACTGATGAAGGGGACTAAAAGGTGCAAACTTTCAGCTATAAAATAAATCATGGAGATGAAAAGTACAGTACAGGGAATCTAGTCAATAAAATTATAATATTGTATAGTGACAGATGGCGGCTATAATTATCATGGTGAGCACTGAGTAATATAGAGAATTGTCAAATTACTATGTTGTACACCTGAAACTAATATAGCATTGCACATTAAACTATACTTAAAAAAAAAAAAACTGTACTTCAACAATAAAAAATAAATTACATAAATTAAATAATGGGATAAAATTTCTCTCCAAGTGTGGACGCTCAGGGGCAGGGGGACTCAGATAATGCAGATCAGGAACATTTAATTTAAGGACAAATTAAGTTTCAAAACATGTTTACTTAACTTGTGATAAACCTCAAGGTCTGCAGAGTAGTTTGGTGCTGATGCTACTGGCCAGGAAGCTACAGTACTGTTTCCTAAACTTCCTCAGGCACATCATATGAGCTTTTCCCATAATACACTCAAAAATGGTAATTACACAGCCTGGTGAGCAGAGCCTTTGACACTCCACCTCCTCTCCATTCATTTACACGGAGTCAGGGAAAGAGAAGCTGCTCTATCCAGTGAATACCAAATCTATGGCATTTTAAACCTAGTCCATGATTAATGATTCCTAATTATTAGGTAACCACACTCACTTGAAGAATATTTTTTTAGAACTACGCTTTTGGGGTAAATTAACTGGCTATGTATACTTTGAATGTCATGAAACATTTGAGAAGCTCTAATAAACCTGCAGTTGACTGAGAACCTTTCCACCTCCATAGGGCACGCAGCAAGTTTTATCATGAGAGATGAAATCTACACGTGCTGGTTTTCCTGAGGCCTTAGATGCCACTTACACCCGGCACTTCCCAGAGTTTGAGCCCCAATCTATTTAACAAGGACCTGTCAAAACAAGGTTATAAAAATAGAGTGTATTTTAAGTGTTTACATTTTAATAAATTAACACGTGTAAAATAAATAAACTTAGAACAACTGTGCTATTACAAAGTAACTTATAAAATTAATTCAGGCTGTTTAGTATTATAATGAGACAATTGTATAGTTGAATGGAAAAAAAAAAGTCTTTCACTCCTGTCTTGGGTCTCTGTTGTAGAATGTAAAACCTCATTTGAAGTTAAAGGTAAAGTCTAAATTTGATACATTTCCCGACATGAGGCCTGGGCCTACACCAATGGCCATCCTGGGTTAGACTTTGCTCTTCCTCCTTCAAAGGGACACACTGAAATCATATTTTTAAATTTTTTAAAGGAACAAGATTATTAAATTTGGTAAGAGAGAGCTATTCTTTAAACCAAGATATTGGCAGGATCCTTTTCTTTTTTCATCTTTCATAAGGTGTGCAATATCTCTGGCTAGGCAATAATATGGAATATCATGGTCTGGTTTTTATATACGGCTGACTGTGTATCTCATGCCACGGCAGCTGAATTAAGCGAAGTTAACAGGTAATATGTACAAGTGATCTAAAATTCCACTGTGTCCAGGTAACACCAAGTGCCCTGGGCAAGAAATACAGGCAATTACCTACACAAAGTGGCTCACCAGAGGTGCATATTCAGGACAGGACCTCCAACAGTGGGCAAGTATAGCTTTTTCACTCATTGCTTTTTTCCAACTGTAAATATTTTTTCCAACTGTAAAAAAAAATTATTTTTTCCAACTGTAAATAGAGGACTGAGCTTCATGTGATCTTACTGCTGGTCAGGGACACTTTGAGGGATAATTTTACAGCAGAGGTGAAAGTCCTGGGGGAAAAAAGGATGTAGACATCAATTGAAGATTGTGTGAAAATGAAGGATGGTCAGACACCAGAGTTCCCACATACAAACTGCAGACCCTGCTGCAGCAAGCAGGGCTGAAATGTGAGAGGGGGAGGACTCTGCCCTCTCCAGCAGGTGACAGATAATGGGAAACTACACTGTGTCCTGGCAGCTAGAGGTTTCTTCTTCTGAGTCACTCCTAACTTAGCAGCCTAGTATTGAAAGTCTGAGGAGGCTTCCCTGCCTGGCTCTTTAAAAGTAAATACAGCCTGGACTTCCTTTATTTGCAAACTAGTCAACAATGCTCAGAGTAAAATCCGGTAAATCTACTGTCATATTTGCTGAACCCGTCAAAACAAGAAAAGGATGCTATGTTGGAACATTTCCCTCTATTAACGAAAACCTCTAGTTTCATTTCCCCCTCCCCCCATCCGCGGCCCCATTCATTCACTAATGCATTCAGTCAGCAGAGGAGCCAGGGGATCCCATGAACTTTCATTGAACATGTTCTAGTTACAGTGTGAGGAATACAAAACTGTAAGGTTTGACCTCATCCTGCAGGAACTCACAGTCTAGCTAAGGATAATGTATAAAAATAATGTATAAAAACCAATGGTTGCATTCCTTAGGGTTGAATGCAATAATGCAGGTGGGTGCTTGGTAGAACAGTGGCTCAAAGGAGGAAGACGAGGAATCTGCTTCATTGGAATATTCACAAAGGCTGATATCTGTGCCAGGCAGTGCCAAATACTTTACCTCCTTCAGCTCATTTAATTCTCCAATGACCCTCACCTTAAAGATTAGAAAACTAAGGCTCCAAGAAAGCAAGTAATACACCCAAGGCTACGCATCTAATAAGAGGCAGAACCAAGATTCAAGTCCAGGTTTGTCTTTTCAGGTCTCTGATACTCCTCAGCCAGTGACTGATTGCCAGGACAGTGAGCATGAAACCGTCCAGTATATTTGGCTTGGGGGAATAGGGTCGTGTAAGGGATGGCAGCAGTGCAGACAGGCTTAAGCCAAGGACAACTTCTGCTTCTGACTGCGGAGGGCACTGGATAGAGGAGCCAGCCCTCAGGACTGGTATGAACTCTTGACAGCATTCTTTACCTTTACATCCTTTCCTGCTGCTTTCAAGGAATGCTGTGCCCACCTTCTCAGTCTCATCACCATTCCTTAAAAGGCTTTGGAACAATGCAGGGTACTAGCGCAGTAGCCAAGGAGATTTCTGTCTTGCTTCCTTTGTATGATCTTTATTTCCTCTTTTTACCTTCAGTAGATTCAGGAAAGAGAAAAAGTCTCTTCGGTTAAATGTTGCTACTCCCACATTAACTTTCCAAGAGGGCTGCTCCCCCCTATTTCCACCACTGTAGTCTTCATAGAAAAAGTCCCAGTGAACAATCATATGTTACTGTGAATTTGGGTACATACTTTATTCTACTGTTTCTTAAACCCGCCCCCACCCCCAGGAGGGTATAAGACAAAAAACAATTCTGAAAACTGGATCACTACAATTGGGGTGGGTGAGGAAGATTGGTCCCAACCCTCAGGGATTCTGGCGTCAAACCTGCTGCCCACCTCTGAGAATCAGTGTTCCAGCAGCTAAGTATCATCAGCATCTTCATACTCCAGTCAGCTTAGTTCAGCCTGATAGAAGTTCAGCTGTATTCACTACTGACAATGCTGATATCCCCTGAGAGAGCACGCCAGGAGAATTATTTAAAACCTGTAATCTCTTCTTATTTGTCCTTGGCATGTGTATACATCACCAATGGAGTTTCTCCCTAAAACTACCTACCTGGATGTTCTGTCCTTTAAATTATGAGTTCACTCTAGCCCAAGAGGGGATCAGGCTCTCACTTCCATTCTCTTCATCTGCCCTCATGGATTCTCTTTCTCCAGGTCTTTTCGTGGGTTAACTTCTTAGGCTCTGCTCACCCCCAACCCACCTGTTTCAAACATAGAGAAACGAGAACCAAAATGAACACTCCCATAGAAACCACTGCTCACTACCCTTAAAACCACTAAATGAAGTAATGTAGGTAAATCAAACCCAAGGAGATGAGGTTAGAAGGTTCCCTTTTACAACTACCAGAAATGAAAATTATCCCCCACGGCTGAAGCAATTTCCTCTGCGCCACTTCTATTTTCAGTCTGTCTAAGTTTCTATTTCAGGCTCGCGTGGCTGGAAAGGCTACAGATTATTATGGACATATACACTTTGTAACTTACAGAAGTACTTGCAGGGGCCTTGCTTTTATGGTAGGAGGGGTAGAGGAAATTGTTGAAAGTTATATCAAAGTTCTACTTCCTGACCCCAGGGCCGAACACCAAGCGCTTGGCATGGAGGTGACATTTGGCAAAGATTTGAGGAAGATTGTTTGCTCTACTGGAGTCACGGAAAGACTTTGAAAGATGTTCGTGTTTTCAACTGAAAACTGTTGAAAAGCTCAGGTTCTCTAATGTTCCTTTTCCATCAATTTGACGTAGGAAGTTTGGAGGAGGTTCAATCAATTCAATAGACAACACACAACACATTGCGTGTGCCTGCATCAGAAGGGTGATATGACTCTGCTTCACTCTTCCATCCCCCTCAACACCTGCACAGACATTCCCCACACTCATGTCTCCTGTACACCAAAAGTTCATGGCCCATGTTAGTTTGCTCCATGATTCAAGTACATAGAAGATGGTTTTAATGAAAGTGTGATCACAGCCCCTTGGGGTTTGCAGGGAACTTCCAAGTCAGAGGCCTTTGCATTGAGTGGCTCCAGGAGATGGTAAGATATATTTTTAATTCAGAAGAGAATAACCTTCAAATTTATATATAAATTGCTATCCACTTACCACGCATGTCTGATATGTCCTTTTTGAGAATGTCTCTTCTTAGTCTTTAGAAACCAGTTTCTATAGGAGAAAGGAACAGTCAAAGGTAAAGCAGAGTCTTTTCCTTCCAGCAGAGCAATGTGTGGGCCAAGGTCAAAAGTGCTTATTCAAGTCGCCATCCCACTTCAAAGAAGCTGATGGCTGTGGGGGAATCACAGAGGCAATTTACGGGAAGTTTGAACTCTTCACTAACTTCAGCCAATACAAGTATTATTCCTTTTTCAAAAAATAAATAAATAAATGGTTCCAAATAGAAATGCACTTGGCATAATAATTTAATAAAGCTAAACACAGTATCAAAGTGTTGATCATAAGTTTACCTCCAAAAGGCCTAAAGAATGCACTGTCCTTGGATACAAGTCACATTGTAATTCCCTCCTTTTCTGCTCCTGGGTTTAAAACCAAACAGCTAAGATAAGATCTGTTGGCATGGCAGTAGCCCATGAATTATCCCCTCTCCTACAAAGATGCCCCACACTAATCCTGTGGGACAGGATTAAGAGCATTCTAAATTCAGGGGACTTAGAATGAGTGCAGTTCTGTTCTCCAAACTCCAGTATAGGGCCGGTGCTCTGGTTTTGTGACTATAAAGAGCTTGTTGTGTTTTGTTTGTTTGTTTTTTAAAGATTTATTTATTTATTTATTTATTTATCTATCAGAGAGAGTGCACAATCGGGGGGAGCTGCAGGCAGAGGGAGAAGCAGGCTCCCCGCTGAGCAAGGAGCCCAATGTAGGACCTGATCCCAGGACGTTGGGATCATGACCTGAGCTGAAGGCAGACGCTTAACCAACTGAGCCACCCAGGCATCCCGAAAGAGCTTGTTAAAAACTTTTCATGCCATGTAAACTTTATCTATAAGAAATCCTACCTGTGTCATACTATTTACTATGTATATATGCTATTTATGGCTGGTATCACCATATTAGAATGGTTCTCAAACTTTACCAAGAATCAGAATCCTCTGGGGAGCTTTTTTTTCAATTGAGATATAATTGACATATAACATTGTATAAGCTTAAAGTGTACAATGTGGGGCACCTGGGTGACTCAGTCAGTTAAGTGTCTGCCTTCAGCTCAGGTCATGATCTCAGGGTCCTGGGATTAAGCTCAGCATGCGGCTCTCTGCTCAGCGGGGAGTCTGCTTCTCTCTCTCCCTCTGCCGTTCCTCTTGCTCATGCTCTCTCTCAAATAAATAAATAAAATCTTTTAAAAAATAAAGTGTACAGTGTGTTGATTTGATCCATTTATATACTGCAAAATGATTACCTACCACCATAGCATTAGATAATACCTCCAACACATCACATAATAACCATTTCTTTTTTTTTTTTTAGTGGTGCAAACATTTAAGATCTAGTCTCTTAGCAGCTTTCAAGTATATAATACAATACTGTTAACTATAATCAATATGTTGTGCATTATTAGATCCCCAGAACCTGGGGAGCTTATCAACCATGCAGCTTTTCTAGTCTGACCCCCATAAATTTGGATCCAGTAAGTTGGAGTCTGGAATCCACAGGTGTATAGGTTCCCCAAATGGTCCTGAAACCTAGAGGACCCAGGCCACACTTCACACAGCCCTGCCCTGGCTTTCTATCCATGTCATTTACCACCCTGTCCTTCATGCCAGCTAAGTGCCTGACACTGTCTCCCAAGACACACAATAGGATATTTCTCCAAAACAAGAAATTTTGAAAGCTGCACAGCTAAATGTACATTATGGTATGATTGGCTCCACTTTAAGTAATCCAGAGAGGTTAATAACTTACAAACAAGTGGGCAAAGTTGTAACTTTAACTCAGATCTTTCTTCTCTCTAGACCCCTCTCTGTAGGCACTCTTCTTTCATCATTTTCTTGGGTTCAGGTGGCCTCAGGGACTAGTAGAAACTGAAAGATTGCACCAATTCCCTGATTGTGTGCTGTTATGAATCACTTGCTAATAAAACAAAACTGTCTAAGTACATATTAAGCATTTTAAGAGCCAATTAGGCTTGAAAGTGTAGAGAGAATCATCTCCAATTTACAGTAAGAGCAATAACCATTGCCTCACATCATCTCCCATAAGTGCCCCCTGTTGGGAGTCATACCAGAGTTGGAGATCTGTCACTGGTGTTGCCATGAGGACTGAATGGACATTCCCTTGAGACCTGGGCTTTCAAATTCATGAGGCTTTGGGCGCCTGGGTGGCTCAGTCGTTAAGCGTCTGCCTTCGGCTCAGGTCATGATCCCAGGGTCCTGGGATCGAGTCCCACATCAGGCTCCCTCCTCGGGGGGAGGCCTGCTTCTCCCTCTCCCCCTCCCGCTGCTTGTGTTCCTGCTCTCGCTATCTCTGTCTCTGTCAAATAAATAAATAAAATCTTAAAAAAAAAAAATTCATGAGGCTTTGAGGAATTCAATCTCAGGAACTAAAATCAATGGAAATATGTAAATGGAGTGATGAAGAGATAGTAAAATACCTTCAATTTCAAAATCATTTTGTATTTTATAAAGCACTTTCACATACATTAATTTCTTATATCACCCGCATGTAGACAGATTTTATTCCCTTTCTGCAGCTGAGAAAATTTGGAGTTCAGAGTTTAAGTAGTCAGTTCCAGAAAACAATGAGCTTCCAAATCTAGGTCTCCTGATTCCAGTGAAAACATTGGAGTGTTTGAAGGCAAAGGTTGTTCTTATACAAAGGAACGCATGCCACAGTGGTATTATCAGCTGGGCAGAAACTCTGATTTCAAATCAACTAGTAGAGGAGAAGGGAGGGGAGGACCAGTGCTGCCCCAGACATGGGAGCAGACAGAGGGCTACTTGCAGGTAGGAGGACAGAGGTTTATCTAACAGTTACCAGGGACTGGACCCAGAGATTGGGCTGGCTGAAGGGAGAAAGAGGGTAGGGTCACTCTCTGAGTACTAGCAAAAGGGCAGCATCGCTCCTGTGTGATGTGGAATTCACACGGGAAGCCATGTTGTAGCAGGCAAGGCTGGGCATGCTGCTTTTGAGTTCTCTACCAAGATCCCTTCCACTTCATAATTAAGACAAAAAATTGTTGTACTAGAACATTTCAATCACCCTTAGTAAAAGTAATGCTAGTTTGGGGACGCCTGGATGGCTCAGTCGTTAAGCGTCTGCCTTCGGCTCAGGTCACAATCTCAGGGTCCTGGGATCGAGCCGAGCCCAGGGTCAGGCTCCCTGCTCAGCCGGGAGTCTCCTTCTCCCTCTCCCTCTGCCTCCTCCCCCACCCCCGACTTGTGCACTCTCTCTCTCTCTCAAACAAATAAATAAAATCCTTAAAAAAAAAAGTAATGCTGGTTGTGCTTTTCAACTCTGGGCCAGCCTGTGTTGCACTTAGAAACCCAAGGGCATGCAGTAAAGGTGCTAAATTTTTGGCTGACTTTCACAGGGCATGGGCCATACCTTTTTTTTTTTTTAAGTACATTGCATAATGCCTGACATATAGTAGACACTCAATTGTTTGTTCATTTGAAGGAAAGAACAGAGCAATGATAGTGATTTAGTTCACACATGGATCCTAAATAAAACTGAACCACAGAAGGAGATTTAATAAGCTTTTCTTTGTTCATGACTCACAGAGGAATGCAGCATAAAAGTGTGAAAGCCCCAGACTTTGACTATAAATGTAGCCATGTATGTATTGATATTACACTTCTAAAACTTTGACCTGCTTATCTTCCACCCACTACCCCTACCCCCGAGAAGCACCCTACTGGTTTCTGGGAGATGTGTAACAAGACTGTCAGTGATTTTTGCTCTAGCTTCCTTGCCAGGACCCATCACAGCTGCCCTGCAAAGGCCTTCTGAGGATCTGCTCTGTCACCTGAACCTTCATAGTCTCAGAGCTTTACCGCTATCTGCAGCACAGTTAGGGGAAATGGCCTCTACCCAGTTCTCTGTCCCACTTCCTAAGACAATGTCTTCTGGACTTCAAATAAGCATGCTTCTATCCAGAGATGTTATCACACAGAGTGTGCTCAATTTGGCATTCCAACCATCTATTAATGGTCCCAAATAGTCTTTTAGCTTGGGTGGGGATGGAGAATTGACTATCCCATGCTACCTCTTTATGGACTTTGTCATACTAAAAAAAAAAAAAAATTGTTGCCTTCACAGAACTAGACCAAATAACCCTAAAATTTGTATGGAACCACAAAAGACCCTGAATAGCCAAAGCAATCTTGAGAAAAAAAGAACAAACCTGGAAGTATCACAATTCCAGGTTTCAAAAGATACTACCAAGCTATGGTACTGGCACAAAAATACACACATAGGTCAATGGAACAGAAATATTCCATTGGGTAGAGAGCCCAGAAATAAACCATGCTTATATGGTCAACTAATCTACAACAAAGGAAGCAAGAATATACAATGAGGAAGGGCCAGTCTGTTCAATAAATAGTCCTGGGAAAACTGGACAGCTACATGCAAAAGAATAAAAGGAACCACTTTCTTACACCATACACAAAAACAAACTCAAAATGGATTAAAGACCTAAGTGTGAGACCTAAAACCATAAAACTCCTAAAAGAAAACCGAGGCAATAATCTCTTTGACATCAGCCTTAGCAGGATTTTTCTAGATATGTCTCCTGAGGCAAGGGAAGCAAAAGCAAAAATAAACTATTGGGATTACACCAAAATAAAAAGCTTTTGCACAGTGAAGAAAACCATCAGCAAAATGAAAAGGCAACCCACTAAATGGGAGAAGATATTCCAAATGATATATCTGATAAAGTATTAATATCCAAAATATGTAAAGAACTTATAAAACTCACCACAAATAATCTAATTAAAAATGGGCAGAGGACCTGAATAGACATTTTTTCCATAAAGATGGGCCACAGACACTTGAAAAGATGTTCAATATCATTAATCATTAGGGAAATGCAAATCAAAACTACAGTGAGATATCACCTCACACCTGTCAGAATGGCTAGTATCTAAAATACAAGAAATAATAAGTGTTGAAAGGATGTAGAGAAAAGGGAAAGCTGAAGCTCTACTGGAGGTGGGAGTGCAAACTGGTGCAGCCACTGTGGAAAACAGTATGCAGAGTCCTCAAAAAATTAAAAATGGAAATAATATATGATCCAGTAATTCAACTACTGGGTATTTACCCAAAGAAAATGAAACTACAAATCCCAAAAGCTATACATACCCCTATGTTTATTGCAGAATTATTTACAATAGCCAGTATATAGAAGCAATCCAAGTGTCCATCTATGGATGGATAAAGAAGACACACACACACACACACACACAATGTAATATTACATAGCCATAAAAAAAAGAATGAGATTTTGCCATTTGCAACAACAGAGATGGACCTAGAGGGTATTGTGCTAAGTGAAAGATGTCCTAGACAGCAGGAAAGCGAGCATCAATATAGTAGAGTCAAGGTTATTGGGTAAGTTTTTCCTCATTATATACCAACAAGTTGA